AAGGAGAAGCAAGCCTGGGTTCCACCGATTTTGATTGCTGCTGGGCTCTCAGCAATTTCTCATTCGATCACGATGAAAATGACGGAAAAATCTCAGGTACATGTAAGAATTATACGAAATTTATGGAATGCTTCTAATTAAAAGGATTATGAAGCAGATTAGTTCCATTGCAAAACTAATCAGAGGTGTCGGAAAGTGGTCAGCTCATTGTCAGCTGCTTAGCATAGAAGGAATGCTACCGCAGTAAGGGAAAAGCACAGCGGCGCAAAAAGAACCTTATCCATACAACCATTTGAATTCTCCACGGAAAATTGAGAAGTCTGAAGAGTTACAAAGGAATCGAGTGGGATCTTCCAGACCATTACTCTAAACAACACCTTCGCCACTTTCATTATTACAGCTTCCTCCTCTTTATGTGGTCGAATACGACCTCGCAAACCTCTCAGTCCATAACAATATGAGGGAGATGAGAAGTCAAAAAAAAGCAAAAGAACTGATAGCAGGACATCAATCTTCCTCACACCACGAGCAGTATCCTCATGTTCCTTTTATGAGCATACTGTTTTCAATATCGTTACCCTGGAGTATGTGAAGTCAGCATGACTACTCTGCTGAGTTAACTCTGTGAGCGGAGAATGAACAACACTTTGGTTTTTCATGATGATCACATCACGCTAAGCTGAATAGCCTTTTGGACGTTTCATTTCGTGCTTTGCTCTATCTCATAATGTTTAAAGCGGACTATGATAGTGCGACATTTAGCAAGCAAGTATCTTTTTTTGCTGACGTTTCTTCAAATGTTTAAGGAATGCATTCTTCTCCTTACATTATCGAGTACTGAAGTATAATAATAACGAAGGGAAATATAAAACGAAATATCTCTGGCACAGTGGCTACATCCTCTAATATAATAGCTTCATATTTTGCATCTAAATTGTCGTGCAACCGATCGGCCGCTTCATGTCTACGGATTGATCACAACCAGATACGGCCCCTGCAGCTTAATTTTGCGATTACAATGACCCCGAACAGCGCATATCTCGGTAGGAGTATTGACACTTGGTAAAGTCAACTCAGAACCTGTAGGGCCTCCTCATTAAAGGCGACCAGAGGTGCAATCCACCGATTGCTGCGCCACTAGTTCAAAGTCTTATCGAAGATATGATTCGGCTAGAAATTTCCTCCTAGCTATAATTTGATCCATTGATTACAAAAATTACGTCATTTTGGCGCGAGATCACGACTGAGCGCGCTGCTAGCGTTGGCGCGCTCAAAAGCTGCGGCGTTCACACTTGCAGTGGCGTGCCATCATCTGATGCAATATACGTGCTTAGAGGATCGAAGTTCCCTGAAGAGCGTTCGATTGGATCACGATTTTGTGCACTAGACGATTTGTGCGTCACACGGATCTACCTTCTCAGTAGCCCTTGTTCGAAAACGCCCACTCGCCTGATTCACCGTTTGTTGATTACATAAAGGCATGTAGTGCTCACCATCCACTATGCCTTCAACGCGCCACCCGGCACATGTCTCACTATTCCAACTCCATACATCATAGAAGGGATGCCTAGATTATAGCCGAAGCCGAAGTGGTGTCGCAATTTTTAAATACCATCTTGTTGAGACGTCAATAAAAGAGATGGAGCAGGAACATCAAGCAAATCAAGTGCACCTGCAGTCACTTCAACTATGGAAGTTTTCAAAAGGAAGTGATCTTCCGGAAGGACGAAAGACAGTTGCTGATGACAAGAGATCGTTTTTGAGGAATGGTCTTCATGGCTTTTTGCTTCTTTTATCAGTGCCTGGATGGACAGCATTCCGGGCCCGACGACGCTGCCAATAGCTAAGTTCTTCGCCAATCTCAAGCCCGTCACCCGATGTCCTCTTTCCGACGACGACGGCACAACGAAATCGCTATTATTGTGATTCGTTTGTTGCTCTATTGTCAAATGCACAGTTCACGATAAAATGGTTTCGGAGAAATTCACATGTTATGAATTCGAGGCTCCCTCTGATACCACATGTATCGAAATGGGGTCAAAAAACGTTCTGGTTAGGGCACAATCATTTGCCAGAGAGTGGGGGACGGGAGGCTTCCGTCCCTCGCTAGGTTGACTACGAGTTCTTATTGTCTTTCACCACTTTCGCATTAGAGCAACATTAGTGAAAATCGATAGGCTGGTTGGCAAATTGCCCACAAACGGTCAGCTGGTCGACCGCCTCGTACTGGGGCTACTATTCGGCTGCTTTTCTAGTATTCGACTATATTCTACGCTATTCTGTTCTTATTAATTTGTCTCAGGTCGAAATTGTTACTGCACAACAAATCAGACTGATAGCGGTGGAGAATTAGTTTTAATGAATAAGCCAAAATCAGCTGTTTTGGTGTATTGTGTGCAATGGCAGACACTGCCTCGCGTTTGTCTGACTCGCCCGAAAAAACCCTTATCGCCGTTTCTTCGGCATGTACCTCGTCCGACCCCCCTTTTCCCTTGTTTTTTGTAGCTCTCTATTCATTTATATTCATCTTTTTTCGCGTTTTCTCTTTTACCATTGCACTACTGTAGGCCGTATCTAAGATTTTTTGTCAAATTTCGTCAAAAATCGGGTACCCCAAAATTAACGTGAACTGTGCCTTTAAGTGTGACTGGAATAAATGTCTCCTTTAGTCTGGTAGAACAGCACGAATATCGAGTGATAGCACTCACCATGCAGAGGTGAGTCGTTTCCATTCTAGTTTCCTTTACTAATGGTCCCTATCTGTGGTTTTCCCTTCTTTGCTATTATTGTCGATCTTCGGACTTTCGTTGGATGCAAGTAACGGCCGCGGGTGTGCCAACGAATTCGCTTTCTTCTTGAGCTTTCTTTTGCACTCAATTTTTCATACTATTATAGTATTCACTATCATAGCGACGAGTTCGGTTCTCTTTGTGTGGGAGCGAGGGTTCCTAACTTCTTTACAACCTGATAATGTCTTTTTAATAAATCTGCCTGGCCATTCAATGCAGACCACTGTCTTGACTTTCATGACTTCAGTCAAAGCCAGTTCGAAGGACTGGAGAAGTAATGTCCCGTTACAAGAAATGATCTGCTAAGAGCACCCACCTTCACTGCCTGCACCATCTTTCGGTTTGTACGTAATTTTCTAAGTTGAAAGTAAATGTACTACCTTATCGCAATTATCACACTTGTACATGAGGCGTGTGTGTTGCTTCATTGTGCCGTCTTTCTGCACATGGTAGATGAAGAGATGCGACTGTACATTCTGTTTCAACGTGAAGGCGGCATCGCATACATCGCAGACGAAGGTCTTTGCACGAAATCGGCTGAATCTGAACACAAATGCATCACAGCTAGCCATCCAAATGTCAGGAGTATGTAAACGTGGAGGATAAAGAAACGACTATTTGGCATTGATCCAGCTATTTTTCCGATACCTTACAAGTGCGATCTAAAACTAAGTCACACTCGCTTTTAGGTAAATGTCAAGCACAATCAATAGTTTGAATAAGCTGACGTTATATTCGGTGATTTTGTTTTCCCAGTGTACTAATAGGATATATAATAGAGATCGGATCACGACACTGTAGAAATAAATATAGAAAGTGTAAGTCCGTTTTCCTTGAATATATTGCACCTATTTGAAGCTGATCTGGTAATGAAACTTTTTTGTACATGAGATCCCTAAATGAATATATTCCATACCTATCCTTCTCAAGCTGAATAATTATTATTTTAACACTTCCTTATGTTTTGAGAGTTAGCGCTTTCTGAGATTTTTAGGGCATCTTATGCATGCGTGAAACTGTGGCATACTCCTTTAGGACTATATCGATTCTACCACAGGTCCTGGGTGCTTCACATCAAACAAGTAGTCTCTTTCTCGTAGGCGCAGCTGAAATTGTTCGAACTCATGCAAACAACTTTACTGAAATAAAATTCGCCTTCCGGTCCATCAAACTACTTCCTTGAAGGAGTAGTGTTGATGACGATTCGTTTTTCACTTTCTGCTTTTGATTTTACGAATCCTACTATCAAGTAAATGATATTAGCTCACCTCTTTCGAGGAATTTCACTGACTGGCATGACTTCCTCATGAAAATGTTCCTCCTAAAATTCCACGGGAAGAACTAATCTTGGAAAGCATTTCCTTTCTAACATATGCCATTCTTAACAATATCTCCCTTATCATGGCATAATTTTCAAATTCTGTTTCTTTTCCTTTGCTGTTAAGATTATTTCTTTTTGTTTTTACGTACTCTATCTCCTCGTCCAATAACCTCGGAAAAAATTTGACACTGTAGGGAGCCAACGCCTTAGTGGTATATCAGAATTATATAGCTGCATAACATTGACGAATGGTAAATCTGGCAACGTGCACTCGCTCCTTTACTGCTACAAATTTCGCGAAAAGAAGAAAACCGTCATCTCTTATGAACCAGTTACAGACAGGAAGGAATGGCTAGTCACGATCAGCAGAATCGCGATTTATAAGTTACCGCGTACAAAACAGAATTTTTGGGCATATGCAGCACTATTGTGACAACCATGCTTGCTCAATAAGGATTACATCCATAATCTCTTACACCAAACAGAGTAAGCAAACGTGCACGCCGTATTACTCTTTCCTGAGGGAAACCCTTCCGAAGGCCAACAACAGAGCACATTTGGGATACCGTGGTGTAGTGCTCCAAATCATGGGGCTTACACACATGTTCTTCTTGACAGCCCACATTCGATCAGACGAATGAGAATTAGGGCCATCCGATGGCACATCTTTTTACGTTTATTTGCGTCAACTGCTATTTCATAATACAAAGTCTTGACTAATTGGCGAACGCAAATGAGGACAAAAACATCCAGGATGAAGGATACAACCAAGAATAGAAGCCTGTCTCTAACGCATCGATATCTTTGCGCAAAGAGCACTAAGAAAGCATAAAAGTAAAATAATATTACCGATTTCAGTGGTCTCTTCGAAGGCACTGTACTGGGCTTCATCGCTGATATCAGTGACTGGTTGTAGTTTTGTTCACAATGATCTAGAAAATTTTGGCTCATTAATTGTACTTCATAAGCAGATGAGAAGGAGTTATGAAATCTCACTTCCGTTGATCAACTCTATCTAAACCACGCCAGTGTAGAACAACACTGGAAGGTATGGATGAACCCGCCTTGTACCGCGACCTTTTTACCTTGTTGAGCGTTATCTTCGTCTGGGCTCTCGTGAACATTTCTAATGTGATGGGCGTCAACCAAGTTGAAATCGTCGTCCGCAAAACAAGCTACTCCACTTTGTATTTTCCTGCGAGAAGGGTGTTCTGTGCATTCCATTCCTGTACGAGAAATGCTTATTCTTCTTGTTCATGGAAATAATTATTTCCTTATGAAAGAATCAAATATCTGTGCTGTGATGAGCCCAATAAAAACGATGCATATTTCAGAGCATTCGCTAGACTAACTTCCATCTGTTTCTTTCAGTTGTTTTATCGTTTTTTCATATCTTTTCTGTTCTCTAACAATGGGCTGAGAATAGCTGTCCATTGTTTTTGTTTTTTTTCAAAGTGACTTGAAGGGAAGCAGTGAGTGAAGTAGTCAGCGTGGAGCGTAGAATCCAGTGTTAGAAAGGAACACTGCTTTTGCATAGAAGTAGTAACGCATCGGTAAACAGGCGGTGCCTATCCAAATAGCACCAATAAAGCCCTCAACTTATCATGTCGCAAGCTGTATGAGTGTAAAAATAGAAGGAAAACGACGTTGCATCTGAAGAGCATGTATGCGTGTAGGGAAATCCGCGGCTTTTTCCTATTCGCGTAGAAAAAAGTTTTTTTCTCAAAGAACTCAAGAAATTTTCTCCCTGCGCCAGGATCATTAATAACCACTGAGGAAAGAAGAATCAGAAAATTCTCCGAGGAATTATTCAAATTGAAGCAGTTTTTATGAATTCCGTGGCTAAGCATAGTATCAACAGGATCCGTACAGTAAACTATATCCTTGCACGTTATCCCAGATTCTGCTATTCAAACAGCTGACTAGAGAAAATTGACACCTCACCTTCAATACACTGGAAGCATAGCTCCACCATTTTTTCCGGCGAACAGGGCGGCAGCACGCCTTCCGTTGTCTTCGAGCGGAAGAAAACGCAATTTTTTTGAAAAGACCCAGGCAAAACATCTCCTTCATTCCGAAAAGAACCCATTTAGGAGTCGGAAGGCCGACCGCTACGTCAGGTCACGATAAACGAATGAAGCTGCAAACTTCTACGCTCATATCAAGTTAGACGTGGTTCTTTATCATTAGTAGCCTAAAAACGCAAATCTGAACGTCACAAGGAGATGATGATCAACCTTACCGCTGCAATGAGTTAAGAGAAAAAGCGATTTTCCTGGCTTGCGCAGCTTGTCATCTCTGATCACAATATCACTGATGAGCAACTGTGTACACTACATTTAGCAGACAGTCGAAATGTTTCAAGGAGCCAAGAGAGATTGAAGAAAATACTCTTACGCAATTTTTGCAACGCAGAGGTTTTTCCGTTTGACAGTGGAGTAGTATGGAATGATAGA